ACCAAAATCAACATATCTATACCTCAGAATGTTATCTTCTGCTTTTTTTAAATTTAATTTTTATTGTGATTTGGGTGAAAGTTTACAGAGCAAATTCATTTTCCATACAGCAATTCAGACACATTTTGTTTTATGACATTGACTGCAATTCCCCATAATGTAATAGCTCTATCCCACTTCCTCCCTATAGTTACCTCTTCCCTGTGCTCTTCTTTCCTGTGCATTCCTGCCCCCACCCCCCCAATCTATCTCCCTGTGCAAACATTACCCTCCTGTTCTCCTGTGTTTGATCACTCTAAGGACTGTGTCTACCTGATGTAAATGTTCACCCTATATGCTTGTCTACTGTTTGGGTGGAAGCCACAGGAGTAAGTTCAGTTCCAGACCTGAAGGGTAACTAGGGGCCATAGTCTCAGGGGTCTCACCTGGCTCTATCAGACCAGTAAACCTGGCTCTTTTTTTTTTTTTTTTTAATAATAATTTTGAGTTTTCTCCCACATTGTTCTCTCACTCTATCCAGGATCTCCTGCACTGATCTCTTTCCGAGCAGTTGACAGTGGTAGCTGGGCACCATCTAGTTCTTTTAGTCTCATGATCATACAGGCTGAGGACTGCATGGTCTACTATTCTCCTGGACTAACTGTTGCCATGCATTTTTGGTTTTCTTCATTCTTCTTTACTCTGGATGAGGAGAGACCCTTTTTTGCATCTAGATGGCCTCTTGCAAGCTTTTAAGACTCCAGTCACTACTCACCAAAGCATGATGTTAAATAATGCTTTTGTGTAGTATGTTATGCCAATTGAGCTTGATGACCCCTGCAACCATGGTCCTGAGCCCACAGGTCTAACTACTCACTCCCTCAGGGTGGCTGGCTGTGGCAAAGAAGTTATTGTAACTTTGTCCCTTGTTAGCTCTATTATATATATGGACATTTTGACAGCACATACAAATATGTATGTAGAAATATCATCTGTCAACCATATATATGGTCATGGGTATATTCCCTTCTGCCTAGACATACCTGACCATTCAGCCTGTCTACCCATCTATTTATCCAGGGATTAATGTTTATTATCAATTATAATGCAGTATTGTATATATAAAAAATGTTTATCTTTGTTGTCTGTACCTCTTGTGCACCTCTGTGTCTTCCTTTTCCTTAGTGGTAATGTGTCAGTCAATCACTTTTGGTATATAGCTATAACAATTTTTAAATTATTTTCAGCAAGATTTTACTTGCATGTGATATTAATGATATTGCTTGATAATTTCTATATTCAGTTTGATCATCTTTCTTTATAATTGGCACAAATATTGATCACTTCCAGTTGTCCAGGTAGCTGTCTTCCAAATTTCTTGGTATAAATGAGGAAGTACCTCCAGCACTGCATCCATTTGTTGAAACACCTCAATGGGTATTTTGTCAATTCATGGAGGCTTATTTTTTGCCAATTCCTTTAGTGCAGCTTGGACTTCTACTTTCAATACCATTGATTCTTGATCATAAGCTATTTCCTAAAATAGGTGGAAGTTGAACAACTGTTTTTGGTACACTGACTGTGTGTGTCCTTCCGTCTTCTTTTGATGGTTCCTACATCATTCAATGGGAGCTCTGGTAGCATAGTGGCTAAGGCACTTGACTGCTAACCAGAAGGCTGGCAGTTAACCCCCCCAGCCACTCTTTGGAAGGAAGATGGGACAATCTACTTCCAAAGTGATACTGCCTTGGAAACCGAAGGAGGGGTCGCTATGAGTTGGGTCTGACTCGAGGGCACATAACAACAACAACAACACATCATTCAATATTTTGCCCATAGAAGCCTTCAATGTTGCAACTTGAGGCTTGAATTTTTCCTTCAGTTTTTCAGCTTGAGAAATGCTGAGTGTGTTCTTCCTTCTTGCTTTTCAAACTCTAGGTCTTGGCGCATTCATTATAACACTTTACTTTGTCTTCTGGAGGTGCTCTTTGAATCTTCTGTTTGGCTCTTTTATTTCATCATTTCTTCCATTCACTTAAGCTACTCTCCATTCAAAAGCAAGTTTCAGAGTCTCTTCTGACAACCATTTTCGTCTTTTCCTGCCTTTTTAATGGTCATTTTATTTCTTCATGTATGACGTTCTTGATGTCATCTTACAACTGGTCTGGTTGTCGGTCACTGGTGTTCAGTGTGTCAAATCTATTCAAATGGTCTCTAAATTCAGGTGTGATAAAATCAAGGTCACATTTTGGCTATTGTGGACTTGTTTTAACTGCCTTCAGCTCCAACTTGAACTTGCCTATAAGCGATTGATAGTCTGTTTTACAATCAGCTCCTGGCTTGTTTTCACTGAGGATACTGAGCTCCATATGTGTAACTACCATTTATGCTGTTGAAAAAAGGTATTTGCAATGAATAAGTCATTGGTCTTGCAAAATTTTATCATGGGATCTTCAGCATTATTTCTATCACCAAGGCTGTATTTTCCAACTGCTTCCAATTACCAGTAATAATGAATAAATCTTGATTGCACGTTTGGTCAATTTCAGACTGCAGAAGTTAGTAAAAATCTTCAATTTCCTCATCTTTGGCTTTAGTGGCTGGTGCATAAATTTTAATAACAGTAATATTAACTGGTCTTCCTTGCAGGTTTATAGATATTATCCTATCACCGACAGCACTGTACTTCAGGAGTGGATGGTCTTGTCCTTCTTTCTAGTCTGTCTTAATCTGGAAGCTCTACTGAAACCTGTCCACCATGGGTGACCCTGCTGGTATTTGATGTACTGGTCGCATAGCCTCTAGCCTCACAGCAACATGCAAGCCACCACAGTACAACAAACTGACAGACGAGTGGTGGATTATGAATATATTCAGTGCTAGTAAGTTTGGGAGCTCTGGTGGCATAGTGCCTAAGGCATGTGACTGCTAACCAGAAATCTGGCAGTTCAAACCCACCAGCCACTCCTTGGAAGGAAGACTGGGCAATCTACTTCCGTAGAGATACTGCCTTGGAAACCCAAGGAGGGGTTGCTATGAGTCAGAGTTGACTTGACGGCAGTGAGTTAGTAAGTTTGACAACAAGATTAAATGTACAGATCCTTTTGAAAGACATAAATTACCAAAAGTGATGTAAGGAAAAAATAGAGAACGTGAATAATTATATAACTAAGAAATTTTAAATTCAAAATTTAAAATCTTGCCATAAAGTAAACTGCAGGTTCAGATGGCTTCACAGGTAAATACCAATAAACTTTTATGGAAGAAATAATACCCATACTGAACAAACTCTTCCAGACCTCATTTTATGAGGTTAACCTTATTCTAGGGCCAAAATTAGTCAGACATCTGAAGGGGAAAAAAGCAAAAAACAACAGACTAAGATTCTCTCTTAAATATGGACACAAAAATCCATACAGAAGATTTATAAATCTAATTCAGGACTATAATAAAACAGATAATACACTCTGATCAAGGGGGGCTATTCATAAGAATGCAAGATTGCTTTAACACCCAAAATATCTATCAATATAATTCTCTACATTTATAGAAAAAAAGGAGAAGAAAAAAAGCATATGATCATCTCAAAAGATGCACCCAAACAGCATTTGACATACACAACAATATGGATAAATTTCAGAATGAAAGAAGCCAGACACAAAGGATATATGTATGATTCCACTAATATGAACTTCTAGAAGAAAGAAAACTGGGAGAAGACTGAAAATATTGGGGGTGGTGGTAGTTATAGAAATGTTCTATATCAGAGGTTGGCAAACATTTTTCTGTAAAGAGCCAGATAGAAAATATTTTCAGCTTCACAGATCATACATAGTCTCTGTCTTGTATATTTTATATTTTGAATTCTTTAAAAATGTAAAAAATATTCTTAGCGTGTAGTCCATGCAAAAATAGACTGGAAGGTGAATTTGGCCTATGGGCCAGTTTGCCAACTGCTGTTCTATAACTGGGTTACACAATGTATACATTTTTTAAAATGTGTAGGGCATATCACTGGTTATACTTCAATAAAGTTCAAAATTTATGATTCCATTATTATAAGATGTCAAGAACATGGTGATCTCTTTTACAAACTACAGTCATGCATTACTTAACACAGACGATATGTTCTGTGTAATAAGACACTAGGTGACTTGCAAATTGTGCAAACATCCTATTATGTACTTAGCAAACAGATATACCTAAATTGCAAACAATAGCATTCACTTATTTTCCACCTTTGTGATGTTTAATAATCTTTTCTTTTATTTCCAAGTCAGTACTTCACCTTTGTCTCTTGCTGCTGCTATCACTAGTGTTGGTTCTGCTACATATGGGAGCTATGATGTACTTTATGGTAATATTTTTGCAAGAAAATGAAACAGAGAGATAACCCTATAGCACTCAAGAGAAGGGCAATACACCAGATTGGATACTGCTGCCTACAAGTCTAAGCACGCACTGTTATATGATAACCTTTCTGTTTGTAAGTAGGGAAAGTTCACATTAAAGTAATGATAGAAGTTACAGTACAGTACATACATAAGCCAGTAACACCTAGTCTTTTCTTATGAAAATCAAGACATATGGATTACAGGTTATATATATGTTCTATCATTATATTCCTGGCCATCCAATTGCTTTGTAATAAGAGACATGAGATATATTATATGTGTTGTGTGTGGGAACTGATGTGTTCGCTATGTTTGGTTACATCTTCTATGTCTTGTTCCCTGATCAGGTTTTCTGAACTCTCTTACAAACTTATGGACCACAGACACATATGAGCTCAGATGTTGCCCAAACGAATATTATGCAGGGCATGACTATGTATCAAATTACTAAGCTATGTGAGGCTACATAGTCTGTGGCAATATGCCTCAACTGAAAAGTAAAGTCCTTCTATGCCAAAGTTTCCTAGAAACAACTAGCTTCACTAATGTATATTACCATCTTAATAGTAATAGTAATAGAAATTCTATAAGCTAATCAAAGAAAGATATTATTTCCAAAACGCTTACCTCCTCTGTCAGTTTCGTGTTGGATTTTTCTAATGCATCCACTTTTGCCTGGAGGTTGTTTACAGTAGCACTATTAAGAACAGAAAACATAACTGTCTCTTTTGAAAAACAGAATACCCTGTACTTTCCCTTTAAACATCCGTACACTTATTATTTGTTTAATGTCCTCCATCCCTTTAAGGGGTTATAGCTTACAAGGGGCTGTGTCTGTCTTAACTGCTGCATCCTTGGCACCAAAGTGTGTATCCAGTAATTATTTGTCAAATGAAATAAAAGAGCTAATATACTATTTAGTAAATGCTAAGATTTGATTATATATAATAATAATAGCGTACACGAATTAATCTCTTGCCATATGTCACACACGTTTCTAAACTCTTCAACGCAACAACCCTATGTGTTATAATCCCAATTACAGATGAAGAAATTGAGACACAGAAAGATTAAATAAGAGTATAAACAATGTTTTATATTTCATTGTCAAATGTAATCATCTCTTTGCCTGACTGACATCTCTATATGACTTCATTATAACCATTAGTTCTTAGTCCTCAAGAGAAAAATATATTCAATTTATTCTGAAATTTTCTAGCTGAAACCAGGAAATAGGAGAACTATAAACAAAATGATAACTAGTGGATATATTAAAAACTAAACCTCCTGAACCAAGAGGGCCTACACTGTTTATGTCACATATTTAAAAATTCTTAACTTTACTTAATCACTAGAGCTGTAACTGCATACTAATTTTATACTGCCTTTCACCAAAGATTACCAAACAGTTAAATGCTATTTATCCAGTGCCTAGAGTCCAGTCCTTGCCATGCAGGGATTCTTTTATATGTTGACTACTGTCTGAATTTATCCTCATTGACTTTCATTTTAACCTTTCCTTTCTTTGGGTATGGTTTTGGGTTTTTTTTTTTCCTCCAACAAAACCCCTATGAAAGTAATGTTATTTATTCATTCTTTACTTCAGATGCCTGTTGAGTTCTTCCACATAGTTCTTCTGGTCCAGAATTGCAGTGATTTGACCATCTCTGAGGGGGAAGAAAGAAAGGAAATAAATATAACATTAACATTAGCAACATAAAAGTTGCCCTTCCCATCTTTTCATAAAACAGAAAAGAAACTGTGGCATTGATAACACTGAGCTGAAGACAAACTTGATGCAATGCCTAATCCTCAATATATCAATAGTAAAGGCTTAAAGGTTTAGAAAAATTTTAAAACCTACATTAACAAAGCCCTTGTTGTAGCTTACAAACCTTAACAAGTTAGCTTAGAGGAATAACAATTACAATATGTTAGAGGTATTTTAGGGAGCTCTGGTGGCTTATTCCCTAAGGCATTTGACTGCTAACCAGAAGGCTTTTAGTGATTATCGCCTCAGAAACCCAAGGAGGGATCGCTATGAGTCGGATCCAACTTGATGGTGCAGTCCACAGGCTTTTTAGTTTTGCAGTATTATTTATGTTGTTGTTGTGTTGTTATGTGCCATCGAGTTGGACTCAACTCATAGCGACCCTGCATTGGGTTGCCGAGGTGGTATCACTATGGAAGTAGATTGCCCAACCTTCCTTCCGAGGAGTGGCTGGTGGGTTTGAACCGCCAGCCTTCTGGTTAGCAATCAAGTGCCTTAGGCACTATGCTACCAGAGCTCCCATATTATTTATAGTAACCATTTTTCATTTGTCATAGCAACTGAATTAAGCTTACTCTGGTGGAATACTGTTGTTCTCAAATGCTGTATGTTTGTCTTTAAATGATACTTATATTTCAAAGTAAACAGTAAAAATCTTTTTCAAAAAGATCAAATGTTTATTATTACATAAGAAAATAAAGGGCAGAATAATGAGGTTTACTGTTAAACCAATTAATCTGTAATAGACTAAAAAACAAAGAAAAAACACAGGTTATTGTTGTTGTTATGTGTTGTCGAGTTGGACCCATCTCATAGCGACCCCTCCTTGGGTTTCTGAGACTGTATCACTACAGAAGTAGATTACCCAAATTTCCTTCTAAGGAGTGGCTGGTAGGTTTGAACTGCCAGCCTTCTGGTTAGCAGTCAAGTGCCTTAGCCACTATGCTACCAGAGCTCCCTAACCAACAGGTAGACATTTTAAAAATGAAAAACACACTTAAGGCTACCTACCCATATAATTAATGAAAGACCAAGTGCTATCATCTCTAGGTCAATGACCAATGTTATAAAAAAAAAAAATCTAATTATGCTTTCAACTGCTAAATTTTTAAAGTGTATAAAGAACATTTGTGATCTCTGATTTCTAAGCATTCTAATGCATAATCTTGAAACTTTTCATCATGAAATAATTCGGTATTTACAGAAGAGTTTTAAAAGTGTTAGAGAGTTCTCATCTTTTCTTCACTCTGCTTGCCCTATGTTAACACTGTACATAACCAGATCCCAAACCAAAAGACCAAACCCACTGCCGCTGAGGCGATTCTGACTCACAGTGACCCCACTGGGTTTCCGAGGTGGTAAATCTTTATGGAAGTAGAGTGCCCAGTCTTGTTTCCATGGAGTGGCTGGTGGGTTTGAACCACCAACCTTTTGGTTAGCAGTCAGATGCCTTAGACACTATGCTACCAGAGGTCCTTACATAACCCAATAGTACATATTTAATACTAAGAATTTCAGGCAAACTGAGAATGCAATCCCTCCAGTAAATAAGACCTCTCGCATGCTCCCCATGATCTTAAGAGTAAATAACTGAATTCTTTTAATTAAAACTTATATTTTTGTTTGTATCTGAACCACCTAACAGGAAAAGCACAAGTAAAAAACCCTTTTAGGGTTTAGTAGTAGGCATAGTAGTCAGATATTTCTGGCAAGACTCTATTAAAGCTTTACCATCAGAAATTCTTTCAGTAAGTTTGTTAAAATCAAAAACCAACCCAAACCCACTGCAATCGAGTTGATCACGACTCATAGAGACCTTATAGGACAAAGCAGAACAGCTCTGTAGAGTTTTCAAGGCTGTATATCTTTACGGAAGCATAGTGCCTCATTTTTCCCTCATGGAGTGGCTGGTGGGTTCAAACTGCCAACCTTTTCATTAGCAGCTGAATGCTTTAACCACTGCACCACCAGAGCGTCTACGTCTATTAAAGCAGTGTTAAATACTACCAAAGACAACAGAGAAAAAAAAACCAGAAACCTAATTTTCTTTATACATACCCTTCACTACCTTTACTGCTGTTTCCATCCTTGAGATACATTGAAAAATCTATAACTCCAACCTACAGAGAAAATTTTCAGAATTTAATATAAAATTAGGTACGTTTTCAAAGGCATAAAAGAAGGTCTATTTCTAGGCACTCAAAATAGTAATATAATCATGACAATTCTAGAAACTGGTGATGAAAAACTTTTAATATAATCAAGAACTGAAAAGGGTTTGTTGTTGTTGTTGTTATGTGCCATCGAGTTGGACCTGACTCATAGCGACCCCTCCTTGGGTTTCCGAGGCAGTATCACTACAGAAGTAGATTGCCCCATCTTCCTTCCGAGGAGTGGCTGGT